ACTATGTAAATAGTCTTAAAAAAACAATTCTAAAATTTTGAGAATTTTAGAATTGACAGTGTCATCATAATACTAAATTTAAATCTTCTTAGTTAAATAGTTAAATTCACCTTAAGGCTGTAACGATCAAGAGGAAATAGTCATTAAGAAACTGTAGGTAGCGGTAAATTTTACTACGAAGAAATGGGAATTCCGAACTAAGCAATGCGCATGCGCAGTTTTCAAATAATATCCGTGAATTATTTTTAAAAAAACACATTGAGCATGCGTTTGGAAGTAAGTGACGTTATCAAGCCATGTCGAGCATGCTCAGTTACCAAAAAGATGTCTCAGTAACCAAATAGTGGCTGTTAAGACATCTTAAGAACCAAATAGCGACTGCGAAGAGGGTATGATTACCAAGAAATCGTCCTAGGAACCAGCGGCTGCGAAGAGGTTATGAAATAGAAACGGGAAAACTACAGTATATATGGATGGAATATAATGAGAACTCGAGTGGGTTGAAAGCCTCTATCTTTACATCCAGTTCATTAGTGTTCGTCAGGGGGAATTGTAATTAAATTATTGCAAAAAAAGGATGTCAGGCTCTATCGTTGTACCTACCTATGCATTGACAATCCCATAAAAAAATAACCACAGAAACTGACGACATAACCTAGGGCCTAGGCCTACTACTACTTCTAGCCAAGTAGTAGAGCCAGCCAGGTATTCCACATTTAATGTCAAAAAATATGTGCTTATGCTGAAGAGGGTTAGGATTAGGCTAACTATTATCGAGATATCTTATGGTACTCCAGTTTTATCGACCCATATAAAATAGCCACACACTGGCGGCAGTAGTAGAAATGCCTAGCCAAGCTATATTGGAGGCGGGGAATGAATACAAATAAATAAAATAATATTAAAATTTAAAAACATAAATATGATAACAAAATGTACACAGGATAAATTAGGAAGTAGCTGTATGCACAAATTGAATAAGCTACAGAAGTTGTGGCATTTTGTTTATAGGAAATATTTCTTGTTTAGGATTTTTTTCAGATGTTTTCAGAGTACAAATGTATAACTATAAGATTTTGCTTGTGTAGATTTGATGATATATTTTATGTAGGTATCAAATGACAGTAGAAGATTAATGGGAAATGTTGCCATGGTAATGTAATTGATTTGCATAGGGATGGAACAGACTGATGTCATTGTTGTAATTCGCTGTTTTGCTGTAAGCGGAAAACAAATTGAAATTTAGAAAAACATTGGAAAGCAAATTATTTGCATTCTTGGAAATGTTGTCGACTGTTGATGATAGGATAGGAGTCAAGGGATTGATATTGATGTCATGGCGATGATGGTTGTAAGAGTCATGGTGATGAATGATGTGGATGTCATGGTGATGATGATGTAATGGCAATGGTTTGGAGAGTCATAGTAGTACTTGATGTTGGTGTCATGGTTATGTCACAATTGTGGTGATGTTGTCATGGTGAGGAGTGTGATGATGAAGTGGATGTCATGGTAATGGTGTTGATATATGGGGATGATTTTAATGTCATGGCCATGAAGTTGAGTGCCATGACATTGATGTTGATGCTAGAGCGATGTTTATTAATGAGAGGTAGTGGTAAGGATATTTGTGGTCAGAGACATAATGTTGATGCTGTGGCAATGATAAGATGATGTCATGGTGATATTGAGAGTCACGCCAATGATTTTCAAAGTCATGTAATAATGTTGATTTCATTGTGATGATATTGATGTATAGTGATGTTATTGATGACATGGTGATAATATTAATGTCTTGGTGATAATATTAATGTCTTGGTGGTGATGATGTTGATGTCATAGTGATGATATTTATGTCATGGTGATGATGTTGATATCATGGTAATGTTGTTAACATTGCCAGTGATGTTGATGTCATGGTGATAATGTTGATGTTATGGTGATAATGTCGATGTCATGGTGGTTATGATGATGTTGATGTCATGGTGATAATGTTGATGTCATGGTGATAATGTGGAAGTCATGGTGATAGTGTTGAAGTCATGGTGATGGTGATGATGTTGATGTCATAGTGATAATGTTGACGTCATGGCGGTGATGATGTTGATGTCTTGATGTTGTTAACATTTCCAGCGATGTTGATGTCATGGTGAGACTGTTGGTGTAATGTTTATGATGTTATCATAGGGTGTGTTTCTACTGATAAACACAAAATAATCGATTTTTTAAAACTGTGTTTTTTTAATGAGTACCAGACAGCCTGCTGGCGTTTCAACTGCATTTTTTATTTTTCGAAAATCGGTTTTCGTGACGGAAATTACGTCACCATTTTGTTTATACAACACGTTGTTTTCCTAACTGTATAGGATAATATCTTTCTCATTCCTGTCATGATGACAAGGAGTAAGATACGATGTGAGGTGAGAAGGCAAATGTTTTCGGCTTTGCTCATCGGCACAATTTTGAACGACGACCAAACGAGGACAACGGTAGGCCCAAAAGAGCGGAGAGTCCTAGGCCCAATATATCCCCCCCCCCACAAAATAATTACAAAACGAATTCGTCACTCCTCATGTATGTTGACGTTTTTAGCTTGTAGGCCTAGGACATTTTTTTTTTTTTGAAAGTTAGCGCCTAATACGATCTAGTCTTTGCAGTGATTGACCTGGAGGTCACATTTCACCTGATAATCGCTTTTTTTGTGTTGCAGCTAAAAGGTGCACAGCCAAAATCGGTTATTTGCCGTTCAAACACGCTATCTATTGCGTGTTTTTAATCAATTTTTTTTAATCACTTTTTTCAAACTGGTCCCATTTCTACTGCGAGAATAAAAGCGATTTTTCGAAAAAGCGATTTTTAATCAATTATTTCTTTCCAGTAGAAACAGGCCCATAGTGATGTTTATGTCATTGTGATGATGTTAATGTCATGCTGGTGATGCTGATGTCAAGGTGATAATGTTGAGGTCATGTTGGTAATGTTAACTTCAAAATTTCTTATGTGATTGATGATGAGATTTTTCAGATCATTGTTAAATGACCAAAGTCATCGCAGTGAAGGTGATGCTACATTAGGACTGATGATAATGATTGATTATCATGAGGATGATAATGTTTATGTGATAATGTTGGTGAGTGTTGGGGGGTTGTTAATGTTGATCATCAGAGCAAGAGTAATGATGTCACTGTCATGGCGACGTCATTAATAGTTTAATCAATGAGATAGATATCATACGACTACACAAAATTAATTGAATTAAATAAAATCTCTGCAACGTCCACTACGTGCGAGTTGTACTGTAAAGTGTCCTGTTAGATCGCTGCAGATACAAACTGCTTTAAAATCATCATAATCTCCTCCTAATTCTCCCCAATTACCTTGGGCGCTTGATGGACTTTGAGTCTGTCAAACGAATCGGCAAATATACCACTTAACCGTGCAGATTTGTGACGTTCGCTTCATCTGGTGTTAATAACGCTCTTTTAAGGCCTGTAGGATTAGCCAATTTTGTTTTGCATTAGTAAACAGTTCCCCAGAGAGAGGATAATTGTTGCACTCATCAAAAATATTTATAACAATGGGATGAAATTGTTGGTGTTCAAATGCGTTGTATATGTACATGTTTATTTTATTTTTTAAGTGGATTGTAAATGGAAATTCTGATATTGTCTTGAGAAAAATATTTGAGATATCTCTTCGGTGTCGAGCTAAATAAACTTCAATCTTAGGGTTTGTATCTAGGATTGCCATTGGGGATGAGTATGGGAATGATGTGCAAATATGAACCAATTCGGGTATGCAGTTCACCTAGATTATCTGGCTAGGTCAAGGGTCAGATCTGGTTGGGTCGCAGCTTCAGTGTTTTATGGATTGCGAAAATTGTATATTGTAGGACAACTTCATTGCTTAATTACCGGCCTAACTATAGAATAATAGTTAAAATGTAAAAATTTAGAATTCCTTTTCAATCTTTATAAAATATGCCAAATATAGTACATTCTTTGACTTTATTAAAAATGTTCAAAAATGACTTTGGTCTAAGAATTAAATATGTGGACCCGCCCACTCTTGACCACCGCCCTCAATACACTGTACACAATAAAGTAACACATAATCTGATATACTGTAGTGTGATTCAGTCGTGATTTATTACGACAAAAGGCAAATCCTGGAAAAATTTATTTCTCTACATTTGGGGAGGGGGATGCATATATACACATCGCATCTCCCTCCCCCACATAAATAATACCTTTCCTTTAACCCTTAAATTGGCTGGTAAACTCAATTACTGCCAAACAATGCTTTCCATTAAATCCGCAAAGGAAGTAGCAAACAAAACAACCAAACAATATTGACAAAATGAGGATGACAGAAACAGCAATATTGTGGTTGTTTTTGGCACCATTCCAACTTTTTGTAGCCTTAACTTAGTATATGAATAGTGTATTAGTAGTAATAATTATATTTATAAAAGTATACTAATGTCATTTTATAATGCGTAGGTAGGCCTGTTGTATATGAAAGAGCCTGTGGTATTTTAAAATTTTATTACAAATACATGACACTATGAATTCATTTACAAGAAGAATGAATGGATGGATTTATTCGGGGTGAACACCAAAGACACCAAAAATAGCTCACGAAAGTCTAAAGAAGACATATATTTCCCGTGGGTCCTTCTGTTGGTGACCGGGCAGTACTGGGAGATAATTCCCTACTCTTTTCCGAAGAGTGTACTGCGTTAATTTAACGTCCACACAGGCCATAATGCACACAAGACCAAAGGCCTAAACATCTACTATCGTAACTTGCATTCAGCCCACCATCTGAAATACAAGAAGGGCAGTGATGAGAATTGAACCAGGAACCAAGAGATCGCTACGGTTCAGCACACACATAATGGCTACAATCAGTTTAGCCGACTGAGCTAAAACAGCTCTCAAGAACCATTGCACGTTTGTTGCCGGTGATAATAACAATGCTTTCAATTTGTATTACAGGACGTCATTGGGGAACCGGAAGATTCGTTCCTGCAGCAGGCGTACACTCCTTATATTATTGGCTTTGCCTGTGCGATTTTTGCCATTGCATCAGCTATTGTAAGTAAATTTATGTTCTCTATTTCGTATCCCAACCTATATTTAGGTTGCTTGATGAAATACATTTACTTTGTTGACCATAAAATTCTGGTTTTATTGATCTATTTATTTAAATTTGTGGCCAGGGACGGATTGGCCTATTATTCAATCGTTTTGGAACTGATGGGCCTCTAGGTTTTAGAAGAGAAGATGATAATTACCTCCGAACAATAATTGATATTTAACTGCAACCATATAAATATGCATCTGAAGCGTTCAGAAAGTGTACTGAATAGTCTCTAGTAGTATTACCGTGTAGCATCCAAACATGAGCTCTCCCTCCGCTCCCAATTCCACTCATTTACTTATTAAGTATTATTTTGATCCCAGCCTACTACTCCTGTTTGGGTTGATGTTTGGACAGTAATTGATTTTCACTTTTTCAGAGTTTATTATATAACAATTCACAATAAGAATAAATAGTTAGGACTAATTCTAGTACAGAACAGAACTAGCACTTCAGTAAAGCCAAAAACTGGCTTTGTATTATAGCAAGGCCCCATTAATTGTAGGTTCATGAATTAATGAAGTATATAGTACAGTAACATCTCCCAAAGTACAAACATCCCAATTACGAACTCTCGATTTCACAAACTGCGATGACGTCATTTCGAATGATCTTTTTTAATTACAAGACTTAAAGTTGTATTTAAATGTCTTCAAAATTAATATAAAATGTTATGAACAGCTAAGAAAGAAAACATTTAAACCAACAAAAAGACATAAAACTTGGTATAAACCAAGAAATCTCAATCGTCTGCAGCTGAGATATTCCATTTTGAGCTGTGCAAGCTTGTTCAGGCAGCAGTGGCATATCTAGAAGTCTTGAATTTGGGGGGCTGATGGTTGGGTGCGAAGGTGAAGTGTGGGCTCGATGATCAGTTGAGGGGCGCTAATTCGAAAAATATGGTGATTTTAGGTGATTTTTAACTATTTGACCGTGATTTTTGGGGGTGACTGGGGGGGCGCGAGTAATTTGTGGGGGCGTGGCCCCCATGCCCCCCCTAGATACGCCACTGTAAGGCAGCTACTGGTACAGTACCGTATGTAGTTGTGCTGTTAGAATACGATCTTTATGAAGAGAATAATAACACTCGTTAAAACCGGTCAAGTTTTCATTCTTGAATCACTTAAAAGAATACTTCACAGTGAGTACAAATAATTTTTGGCTTTTGTACAGTTATTATTTTGTTACATAAAACAGTAAAATCTACAGGAAGTCATATTTCGTGACAAAAATTTTCTCCCCTGGCAATTAGTCTTAAGCCTTCCTAGCCCTGTACTACCGTATGTAGCATTGGCATACCCTCACCACTAAAATTAAAAATCGAACTCACTGAATTACAAACTTCTCGTTTACAGACTCTGTTTGGACGGATGGGTACGTCATTGGGAGATGTTACTGCATTTTAAATTGTTTTCCATGTTGTTGATATTTTAGTACTGAAACATAAAGCTTATTGTGGTACACACATGAAATCTAACAATCTATGTGAAAGTAGTTCAATTAACACCAACATCTCTGGTATCGCGTCATCGCAGGTCGCGGGCCACTAAACCTTACCTGACTCGGATATTAAAACTGCTAGTATAACATGCAGCACAATTGTGTGTACACGATCTTTCTTCCCGCTTGAATATCACTAATCCATTGGGATTATTTGAAATTACCTTTACAGGTAAAGCCAACACAACAAATTTATGCGCACACGGTTTGCCTTTCCCACGAGATTGTTAAAAACTGTGTCTGCTATTATTGACATCGGCTTCACAACTTATTGTTTAGAAGTTTTTACCGCAAATAATTGCAGTTGATGACATCATTCATGAGACAATCTTTCAACAGCGTGCTCTAGTTTATACCCTTGGGTATAAAGGGGTGATATACACCAACTGCCAATTCAGGTTATTTAACAAATACTAATTATCGAAAGAGATTTGGATCACTTATATTTGTTTAGAATTTCTTCATTTAATCCAAAAATTTGAAAATGTTTTCTTGTGGTTTGTCACATATGATCCATTATCAGTGTGTTTATAACGCAAGCCCTGCTTTTGGTAATTAAAGGAGAATTGCGTCGCGGTCCATTGCTGTATTGATATGGGCTGTATTGATTGCATTAGGCACTAACACGAGCGTGATAAGTATCGCATACTATATGAATACGTTAATAAATAGGACATACGTCATGATGAGGAAAATTAGGTCAAGTTGGTGATGATTATCATTGTGCAGAATAATTTTGGAGGATGGCCACGGTTCATTAACATAACGATGTTTATAATTACAACAAAAACGCAATATTTACAAATTCAAATTTCTTTGGCTTCCACTTGGCCATAAAAAATTTACATTAAAAATACATTAAAAAATATGCAGCTGGTTTATAAAGTACTCTAATAAAACTAAAGCAAAATTTAGGATGACAGTATTAAAGCCAAAATTATTATAATTATATGACACATTGTTTACAAATTCAAATTTCTTAATTTTGGCTTTCACTTAGCCATGAAAACTTTTCATTAAAGCTACATTAGAAAATATACAGCTGGTTTAAAAAGTACTCTAATAAAACTAAGGCAGAATTTAGGAAGATAATATTAATGTCAAAATTATTAAAATATATGATGCAATGTTTACAAATTCAGATTTATTAATTGGCATCCACTTAGCCATAAAAACTTTTACATTAAAAATACATTAGAAAATATTCAACTGATTTAAAAAGTACTCTAATAAATCTAAGGCAAAATTATAGCAAGGCAATATTATGTCAAAAGTATTATAAAAAATATGATTAAAAAAAAAATTATTTTATTAATATATCTGTAATTCGCTATTACAGGGATCATAATTATTTTTGCTCGCTAGTGAGAGTTCCAGCAGATTCCCACAACTTGAGGAAGACGTGTGACTACTGAATTGTTTTTCCTACTAATTAATAAATCATACACTTCCTCTTTATTTTGCTATTACTAATCAATTTAAGGATTATTTGTGTAACAATTTGGTTTTTCAAATTAAATTGTTGGAGTTTCCAATTGTTGCTGGTTAAAGTTCAACCAATATGCAAATATCTTTCCGATACCCACCAATACTCCGTAGCCACGGATGCTATTCCCGGTTGACGCATGTTTACCACGTGTGAATGTCTCGTCGATGTTTTGTTTGTTGAATCGACGAGAACAATGGGAGTATGGAACCGGAGCTTTCAAAAAACCATTTCCTTTTATTGATTACGTAGCGTGATTCTACTACGAGCATCACACAGGCCGTCAATATCAATCGCCCTTTACTCACTGCAGGCTTGTAACCCACACAAAAATCAATCCCTAATTACAACCTTTTTGTGCTGAAAATTTGCACTCCATTTTGGTGTGCAATATTTTCAAAGATTTCATAAGATTACAATTATTAAATATATCAAAATAATTTCAACAGTGAAAATAAATATATTAAGTATCTCAATAAAATTTAAACTATTCAAGAACTAATAATGTTAAAATTAAGATTCTTGATTTTGTCAACTATAATTTAAGATGAACTAACTTTATTTAGGTTGATTATATTAATTTCAGACAGTTTTAATGTGATTAAGTAGTAGAGAATTCAGTGTCATCCCAATTTTTATTTATGTTATGTGCTTAATATGGACAATGATTCTGAAATAAAATTGAAAGAAATAGTGGTAAAACGTAGATGAAAATCATAATAAATATTGAAAACAATGCTTACAGTAAACATAAAATTGAGAATTATAAACATAAACCAGAAATTCATCCAACAGCTTATTACACTGTCTACAATCTTAATTCAATGTTTATGCTTCGCTGCTTGCGTTCTATGTCAGAAATTGTATATGGCGTGATCGGTGTTAGTGACATAGGAATCGGGTTTTTGTAGCGTATCCGTAAGGCGTTGTAAGTTCAGGTACATTTCACATTAATTGCAATCACTGTAGCTGTATTATACACATAGCTTATTTTGTTCCCTAAAGACAAAGTATAAATTGAATGCAATTTGTAATTAGGTTTCGCAGTTTGTGGGGGTCAGTGGGTGAACTACGGTTAAAGTTACACCACCTTTACTGCCGTCTGGAGAAAAATTCAATAATATAATATTATATAATATTTTTTTTGGTTTATAAAATGTAATTTCAATTGTAATTTTTATCGTTGATTAACTTATATTTTATGTGTGTGTTGTAAAAAACAATAAAACAAACAAAACAAACAATTATTTTTATTTTTTATGATTTAATCCAGTTGTAAATTTTTCTCTCATTACAGTAGATATTGTTTATTTAAATTTAACATGGGAACTTTATAAGAACCTGTACTATATACTAAACATCATTTTTTAATTGTACTATTTTTTATTGAATGAGGTACAAGGTAGCATATCTAAATAATTTCATCTGTATTCTTTCTTTTGACCAGGCTATACAATTAGTTCATACATACAAATAAATGTATACAAATCGTAGTGAAAAACAAGTCTGGGAAAATGATTTAAAAACTATAAATAAAATACAAATAAAAAGATAATTGAAATATTGTAAAATTGAATAAATTTGTTGATTTCCAAAGATTTTGGTAACTTTCATATTTTAAAAAACCACTTTTACCTCAGTCTGGAGAAAAATTCAATAAAATAAATTATTAATTATTTCAGAATTTTTTCTTTTGGTTAATCCAGTCGTCAATTTTCTTTTGATTAAATATTGTTTATTTAAACTGAACAAGCAAGTTGTCAACATTTAAAATAAATAAAGGTTGGACAGTTTAGATTTTATAAAATAAAATGTCCTACTACAAAAATCTTTAAATTTACTCCGTCAATTTAGTGGTCTAAAGTATATAGTGCATATGGAAACAGTATTAATGCATTACTTAAATGGAGAAGTTTTTTTTTTACGTAGTTTTCAATCAAAAGCAATTTGAGTTTTTAGGTCAATATA